TAGGGCAGTTGTGTAGTGGCTGTCTCGGGCCGAAGGATAGCGGGTTGAGTCCTGCCTTGGGCATGGTTATGCGTCTTTAGATATGACACCCATTACAGGATTTATATGTCCATACGTTACACATAATTGATAGCATCAACTTACTCTACAGCTTTTCCACATAAAGATTGAATCCAATCAGATAGTAAATCAATATTTTTTGTTAGGTGAGCAGAGTTTTATCTCAATTAAGAGAAGTGCTTGGAATATAGATGAATATTTTGACATGAAAAATTTATCATAAGCTATATAACAACATGAAATATCAAAAGATCACATATGTAATTCAGTAAATCTTATGTCTTGAAAAAATCTGAATACAATTTGCGAGAACAAACAAACTCTTAACACTTTTCTACTCTAATATGAATACAGTGGAATCTCTGTAGCCCATTTCCTGCTATGTGGCTGTCAATAAATTACGTAATGTAATTTGTAACACACCCGTAATGCTTGAACTCACTAAATTATTATGCAGTGCTTGCGACAGCATCCCCTCCTGTAAATGCTTTAAGAGCAAAGAAATTATAGTACAGTAAAAACAATTTGTATTTATTTTACTTGTCTGGTATATTAAACTATTTCATGATAATTAAAGTAGAAATTAGTTGGTGTTGCTGATTGCACCTAACAATAAGATTGGGGCAAGTTATAAGTGAAGGAAAAATGCTTGGGCAAGAAATGGCTCATCACAAGCTGTTCACTCACAGTCATGGATGATGTAAGAAGGAAAGTCCACAGTGCCAATATAAATGGATTCTAGAATATACTTTGTATCAGCTTTGAATATTTTCTTTGTAATCTTACATATTCAAAAAAAAGTTTTAAAAATATTTCCATTCATTGTGACAATTTACAACTTTAGTTTATTTATGAGATTCCTTAGAGCGGTAGCAGGATATAGCCTTTTGGAAAGACAAAGAAACACACAAATCCGAAATGAGCTAAATGTAGAAAGTCTTATAGAGCAAGTCACCAACTACAGACTCTCATGGCAAGATCACATGTTGCGAATGAACAACGACAGAATTCCTAAACAAGTGGCAAATTATCAGCCGAGAGGAAAAAGGCACGTAGGACGTCCAAGAATGCGCTGGAGGGACCAAAATTAAGCGGTGTAACAGGCATTATGCGTAAATACTTGAAGATAAGAAGAAGTTTATTTATGTTTTTAAACCAAATTAATTGGTTAATATTTTAATGTTTTAGTGCAGGAATCAAAAAAAGAATTATTGCAGCAAATGTTGAAAAATTTTAAAAATAACTATCGATGTTATGTAACACTTAACTAATACCCCCCTTCCCCTAGATAATGCTGCCTCAGACCCAGTCCACCCTTCCTTTAGCATTATGTAATTCATGGACAACCCCTTAGTATGTTCATATTTTCAAGTCTCAGTCCCAATTTCATCAAAATATTCATTTACAGGTTTAACCATCTTTCTTAGCATGTTGAAAGTTGCAGAGTTAACTTTCTTTGCGAAAGACATGTTTTCCCTTGCAGCAGAGCCATATTCAATTTGAGTTGCCTCCATTGTGCTTCACTTTCAGTCTGATTCCAGATCGCGAGAAATGTGTTTCACTGTACCCTCCCTGCCAATCTTTTTTCCTTTTCTTTTTCTTCTTCTCCCTCTCTGACCTGTGTCATACAAGAGTCATGTCGATATACATCAGCTGCATCGCTGCCTGCGGGCACGAAGATTAACACTATCTTGTCTATGCGAGATGACACACAAGCGCTCTTCGCAACATGTGTTGTACGCACAGCTCAAGCAAGACTCACACTAGGGAAGGTAATGCACTGTTAAGATAATACACGTTTTCTAGCTCAGAACTGTGATGCCCACTAGGTGATAAACCTTAATGTGCATAAGTTTAAATGCTTCTTGGTGTAATGTAGATTTAATTTAATTAATTAATTTATTTAAATAAACAGGATGAACACTTTACAAAAAACAATACATACAATATACATATAAATAATTATTTACTTGAACCGTATTTTCTCCATGGTAACCGTGTTTTCTCAATTGTAGTGATTTGCAGACGGAAATGTGAAAAGTAGGTATAAATTCAGCATTTTTCATTAACATATTTCTCCTTCCTAAATCGTCCATCTAATCTGCTAAATCTGCATGTAATATTGCATTTTCTGCTTTTCTTGGACAGATATCTGGTTGCACAACATCATCTACATAGACAGTATTGCTGCAGGTTAGTATGTAGCCAAGAGTCAGGAGAGTGAGTTTTTGAAGTCATGTGCAGTTCAGATTTCAGGGAAAACTGCGGTGACAGGTATGTCGCTGACCCTGCCTGACTCTTAGAAACCATTAGATCATATGATTATTGTTGACGTAAGAATTTGGATCATACACAAAATGTTAGGAGACAGTCAATCAAGATTGCATAACAAGTGTCGCCTCTCAATCACACACATTATCTGGAAGAAGCAGGTTCTACACCTCAGAAACATTGTAACAATGCCAAAAAAAGATGATGTTTGTGCCCTTCAGAAAGAAGTAGGAAACAAATGAAGTACCATCTGTTCAACACCAGTCTGTAATGAACATACTTAAGTAAACAGAGTGTGCAATCTATAATAAAAGAAAAATAACTACATTAGAGCCTTGGTTTCATTAGCCATGTCCAAAATGTATATCTGTAAGCATAATTCCCTCGCAGCCACTCCCGGGTCCGTTGGATCCTACTTGTCTAGTTGTGTCATTAAAGTTATTTGCCGGGAAAACGGTTAAGGGGGCCCCACAGACGATAAAATATTATCAAACAATCCCTCTAATGAATTCTTGTTCTTTAATGGAAAGTTGAAGAAGCAATATAAAATCTTCTGAATCCTATTAGGATTTTAATCCCATACCTCTAATAATATTATTACAATTTGTTTGCTTACCATAAAAGGAAAGATTAACACAAATTTTAAGGTTTATATTGACTTTTCAGAATAAATAATGACAAAATGACATAATGTGTCAATTATCGTGATTTTTACAGTTACACATGATATGCCAAAAATAATTAATTCTGTTAGTCCCGATTCAGGCCATATCAGATTACTGTTGCTTGTATATTACTTTAATAAATAATTAAAAAAATTAATGTTTCAGACAATACTTAGGGGACCTAAAACTTTGAGAGCCTCAGAGCATCAAAAATCACAATTTAACTGAAAGATGACTGTGATTGAAGCATAATCAATCTGTTATTTTTTAACTTTTAAAAAATTTGAGGTTGCAAATACTGTATTTACCAGCATATAAGATGAGATTTGTTTCTAAATATCCAAGTCGAAAAATGTGGGGTCGTCTTATATTCCCAGGTTAGCCTAGTCAATTAAGCCTTACATTTTTGTATTGCCTTTCCATGTTACCAAACACGTAAATTTTGAGGTAACAATAAGCTGTCAAGACAAAAAATATTGTACGTATCTACAATATGTACTTATATTCACGGTCATATTCACAGCATCCTCCACAAATTTGCCGGTAAAGACATTTTTGAATGGGTTCATTACTAATGAGAGTGTCTCAAACAAATAGCAATGTATCAAATGAAACATACTGTGAAAATGAATGCTGAGATTTTGTTACACAACGAGTGTTCCAGACCACACAGAATCTCGGTTCAACGCTCAGCGAGTGCAAATCTACATTTCGCAAGACACAGATATTTAAAATATTGCCTCTTAGGAAAAAGGATCGCAAATTGATAAAACTTGCCACTATTTCCCAGTTTACGCAAAACAGAGGGCCAGGCATATATACGTTCGCTGTTCACAACCCACTCACACAAACATTAAATACTAATTTCAAATATATTACCCATGAACTGTGGGACAGATAGAAAATCTGATGACATAGAAGGGCATGTTCTTAAGTGGCGTCGCATAAAAGACTTAACAATGCAAAATCGGCACTCAAACTTTCAGAAGTGTCTAAAACGTCAGGATGTTGCAGCATGAAAGAAACATTGATACAAGTAAAAATGATTGTGATAATGATAAAAAAACAGCCAGGACTGGCAGCATAAATTGCAAATATCAGTGCTAATTTTTCCACCGGGCGTGCCTAAGTAAGAAGTAATCTACTTTAGCTTCTGGATCAACAGACTGTACTTAAGCTTCCAGTCTTGATAAGCTTTTTTTCCAGTTTCCTTGATCCAATGAGCAAATACTGCATTTTGCTTCTGCACATAAATATAGCTTAGCCTTTTGCTAGTAGTTCTAGAAGTAGAGCCAGGGTGGGGCATTACATTTTTTTACTTCCTCTTCTTTTTTTAGCAATTCGCAAATAAAAACAAATAAAATCTGCATTTTGTTTATTGCCCTACGCATTACACCCTAAGGAAGGTTGCAGAATAGTTGACGGCACCTGTGCCTTGGGTGCAGCACCTCCCGCCAACAGCCAAGTGCATATTGTCTCTGCCCACAGAACCCTACACTCTCTCCAAGATGTTAAGTTTTCAAAAGTTGGTAATTTTGCTTCTTTTGAAACTTTTATTCATCATTCACATATTTATAGTTAAAATTTAGAGAAGAAATTCTCAAGTTTAAGAAATCGTGCGCAAATGGTACTTCTTCCCTAATACGTCACATCTGGATTTTACTGTTCTTTGACTAAATAAATCAAAACTAACATTGGTCCATGAGTGGAACGCGCCAATGTAAACACAGAATTTTTTTTGCTTATTATATTCAATCTCAGTTATGCATTTTTCTCACTTATACATTTTTCCTTTCAGTCCCCTGAAAAACATATAAGTGAAGTTTTAAAGTAGTACTGAATTGTAGCAAATGGAAGTGAAGAAATATGGAGTGATTTAGTGTTAAAATCTAATAAATTGAGAATGTGATAAATATAAAAACAAATGATAATCAGAATAAATATACAAACATTGAACATGTAACAAAACTAATAAAAAGAAATAATAAAACTTTAAAAGCATACCTGAGTTTGGAATTGAGTTAAAATTCTTCGTCTCGCATCCAAAACAGCATTTTGTTTGCCTGACACCAAAAATGTGAGAGATTGGTCTTTAGATGATGATGTTTCAATATGTGCACCAGTTTCTTGCATTATTTTCAAACATGTTCTTAAAGATTCTCCTTCACCAAATTTGTCACTGTGATCAAACTTTCTTTCTTCAAAGGGTACACGGAAAACCTATAACAAAAACATTGAGTCATTTTACCAGTATTTTCGGCAAAAAATATACACTAAAAGATTAAAAACAATATATTTTTGAAAACTTAATATTTTTTCACAAGTGTTCATAAACATCTTATTTAGTAAAAATTGGTCTTTTTATCAAAATAATAATTTTTTTCTTTCTGATAAATTTCAGTTAATTTTGTTCCATCACAGGGCTTAATAAAACTATTAATGTTTAAATAATTATATCGGATATTAATGAGATTCATACTTGCTTCAAAGCAATTTGAGCCCTTCAGTTGTTAGTTTTTACAAAAAGCCAAATATTTTAATACTATAGCATACAAATAAAAATAGAACATGTCCACCAATACAATAAAATTAAATTTTTTTATTTCACTCTTCTAAAGATACATAATCTACAAACTTTTTTAAATTAAGATTTTATTGCTTCTGAACTAAATAATTAAAAAAACAAAACAAATTGTACTAATTTAATGAAATCGTAAACTGAAAATTATATAATGTTGAGGTGTCACAAATTCAAAATTTCCTTAATTGGATTAGCAATTATTCTTTATCACAGAGATAGGAATTCTAGGCCACATTATCTAATCAGCTAGTGTAATTCCACAACTACAATTACACAACCTCCATTACACAACTACAAAATCTTTGAAGTTTCTCAATCATGTTATTGAAAGAAAAGGTAAGTGTGAGAACTAGTGGAATGAAGGGCAACGTACTCCTGTGGTTTTGAGATTGGAAAAATGAAACTAAAAGATTTGCTAGTTATCAGAGAAAGGCAAGATGATGATTCACAACATTAATTGAAGATATTTCCAGAATGTACAATTTTGAAAGGTATCTACATTTCCAAAACTCTATTGCCGTAAGTGTAAGTTACAGCTAGCACCGGAATCTGGCTAATTCACAAATTTGATGATTGAAGTCCACACTATCCAAAATTGATAGAGTCCAAAGTAGAACAACTCCAAACCATACGTCATATTTTAGCCCCTCAGGTTCAATTCCTGGCTAGGGCAGTCAGTTTTTTGAATAGTCAACACACAAATTAGAACTATTACATCAGGATTAGTAGCTATAGTACTTGACAACAGCGGAACTGGAAACTTATTCCCACATAATTCTTAAACTTCCAACAGTGAAATAATGATAATACAGGTGAAATAATAATTACAATAACAAAAGTAAAATCTGACCAAGGACAAAAATAATTCGGATTTAGGAATTTGTGTTGTACGCAGGGTCACTCATTTTATGACTCTTGTGATATTGAAATTCAGGTAGTTCTATCTCTTGAAATGGGCTTATTGAGATCTCAGAGACAACAATGATGATAATGATAATTTATTTCATGAATCATTTAATAATTGGAACTTCCACAGAATGTTATTATGAGAATTCCTGTGGGAGCATTGAGAGAGAATCATTTATCACATCTTACTACTTCCTTTTGAGAGAACAAACCTTTTTTATGGTGCACCACTTTAACGCTCATGATTAGATTCCTAATGATAATGCTCTGGACATATCGATTCATTGCAATGTGTTTTTGAGAAATATAAGTCAACTTATACTAACAGACTACATAACAACAATTTATTCCGTTTTAAACAGGAAATCACTGAATACATTAAGCAAGTTCACGCTCATTGAAAGTCATTTAATAATTTGCTTTTTACTATTGTAATAAATCTACTATTTGAAATTAGAAATTTTTTTTATTAAAAGTATTTACAGGTAACAGCAGTCTCTTGAATTTGAGAAGACTCGCCAAGAATAGAATCATTTGCAACATTATCTCTCTTCCCTATCATTTTCATTCCTCGAACTAGTCAACAGTCCAGGAAGAAAGTCGTCATCCTAAACCCAAGAATTTAGTTCCAATTTACAATTCATATCTAATTCCAAGAAAATAACTGCAACAAACAAAAGCATGTATTGACAATTGTCCTACAACTTTCTTAGTGACATTAAGATGCTTATTCTAGGTGACTACGAAGGTCCAAGAGACCCTTTCAAAGAAGGTCCAAGAGACTTTGTCACCTCTCAAAGAAGAAAAATGCAGAAAAAGTATGACATATGCCTGTAGGACATAGTAATCTGAATATGACATATCGGGTACTTCTTTAGTGTCAAAAGTAATAAAAGGTTAGATCATCAAAATCGTTTGCCTGGTAAAGTGTTGAGGTAATAGACAAACGAATACATAATATTTTTTCTACTCGATAAATATGAAAGAAGAAGAACGTTTCACATGCTTAGCATTTTCATCACATTAGTTATTCAGTGCTGTTCTGAAATCTACGCAATTTTGAAAAATGCATTACTCAAAACAATATGGCCAGCATATCAACAAGATATGTGAACTTTTTGATAAAACTGTCTTGCAGCATTTTCATAAGAGTTTGACAATTTAAGTAATTGATAACTTCTGGTCACAACTAGCTTTAATTATAATTATGTATCAATTAGTATGTAGAACCAGTAGTCACTAAGTTTTCACAGAATATTATGTAACAATTTTTAAGCATTTAGATGAGTTGGCATTTAAGTACTCCGATGTGCCATAAAACTCGCATTCTGTCAATAAGCATTGGTGTCCTTGGCAGTTACACATCCACAGGCAAGTAACACCCAGTTCAAAATAATGATTTACCATTTTCTACACTTCGCAACATTATTCTCCCCCTTTATGGTCTGTTTAGGCCAGCAGACAATTTTTTTGACAAGTACTTAAACAGTTTAGCATCACCAAAGACCACATTGCTCAGCAAAATTGATTCTGCAGTTAGAATTTAGGGTTAGTGATTTAGATTGTTTTGAGATCACAAAAAATAATACTGTAAGAATTGACACAAAACATGTCAAAAAGCAGATAAAAATATTTATGCTTTTAAAATAAGTCCTTGAAACAGAAGTAAATAGGCCATAAATATCAAATTACAAGTGGCTCACATTGTTTACTTTAATCTTTTAATTGAATAGACCAAATTTTAATTACAAGATTATGCATGTAAATAATATTTCTTGAAATGGAAGTTTTAAAGTGTACTTTCCTAGCATTCTAACTATATAAATACAATGATTTCATGTGAAAATTCTCCAGTTTGTAGAATGACAAAATAATTAAAAAAGAAGTGAAAGAGCTCCAGCTTAGCCAACATTTGTGAAAAACGCAAATCACTAGTTCCTATTACTCACTGACCATAAATCCTAATTATGTTGGACATCAATGAGCCCAAAAAACCGCCAACATGACTGAACCTGTACACTGCATCCAATTGGAATTTATTAATCTTACTTATTACAGTCAGTGTTGGGTAATATATTTTAAATATCCTCACATTATTTAGTTGCTTTTAGGATGTTTCAACTATGTTTACAATTTCATTCACACATAATAAGCTGAACTTTCAGGAATCTACTCTGTTAAGTTACCTTTCTTCAGTTTCAATATTCTAATATTTACCAATGACTACATTTTGGCTGGTGATTGGTAATGTAAGAGTCAACCAAAGGAAAGGTCACTAGGTAATCCAAAGAAAAATAAATCAATATAAAGGATCCTATTAACACTTTCACTGCCAAACAAGATGATTGAGGTTTTTAATTCTATGTTCTGCCAGTGCCAAATATGTCGATTGAAGTTAGCATGTTCATTCAAATAGTGTGTTACATCTCTGTCGAATGGCATTTAAGTGCATAGACTTACTGTTGAAACACAAAATCATGATCTTTTGATATCTATATATTTAATTGATAAACGTTGCTTTTGTTGTAAATAAGTAGACATTGAAATATTTATTTACTTTGCTGGGAAAATGGCTGCCTGTATAAATACTGTTAGTGATAGATCTGTGTCCTGATGAAATTCCTTTTACAGTGGGCAAAACATTTGCTGATTATGATTCAAGTGATGAAAATAAGATGCCATGTGGCAATAGAGATGATGATTCAGGAATTTGTGATAGTAATTGAATGGAAACAAGTGCATCACTTCAAATAGCTGATTTGGAATCAAAAAATGTAGAAGTGCTACAAAATTCTTGTCCATTGATTGTAATTACCACTGCACCTTGGTGTTTGATACACTCGATATCATACCCTTCAAACATATTAAGCATGTTCTGAAAATTTCAATAAATTATATATGATAGTTCGCAAGATATGTGAAGATATACATCCAATCCAGTGAAATCCCACATAAATGTCAAATATATCTGGCAAAAGGGGATTTACATGACTACCAGAGTGCCTGGCAGTGAAAGTGTTAATTAAAAGAAAAAATTCTCTCATATGACATCTGTTTTTGAAGCGTCTAATTTCAGTAGCAATGTTAAATTCTCTCTTTCAGGAATAAGACCTTTAGTATTTCATGATGACTTTCAAAAAGTTGCTGCGACTTAGTTGCAGGCATTTGAATTATTGTATAAAAAAAAAAAAAAAAAAAGACAACCAACAATTATAGCATTTCAGCTCTGAGTTTTTAGAAGTTTAGGTTTTGTGTTAAATTTGACATTTAAAACCCAATTAGTAGAAACAAATATTTAATTTTTATTGCAGAAACTTCACAGCTCTAATCTTTTTAGTACCAATAGATTGTGAAACGTGTATCGCTCACCATGGCAACATTTACAGTTACGGTTCCCACAAAAAAGTGTATATCATTCAAGAATGGTTAAACCCATTTATTGATTCTTTACATAATTTTGGTGCAAGTCATATTTAATTACATAATCTTTCACTAATTAATTTCACTTGATAACCTCTGGCAATGCTTTGACCAATTCATTTCCCGCCCTCCAAAAATGTGACAAAACAAATAAAATAACCTGGGTGACCACAGAAGAGCCAATTCTCATTTTGTTGTTCCATTGTCCCAGTTGGTTCACTGTAGGTGAAGAATTAACAGATTCGGGTAAAGCTGGGAAAACCTCGTCATATGTGTAGGTGGGGGGCTCGTAAGATGCGTCCTCTTCCATCACTGCTTGCTGCATTTTTGGGATGTCCTGATTCGCGCCAAGTCGTTACAGTAACACTGCAAACATAAACAACATCCATCAGTTCATTGCACCATGACACGAGGTTCAACGCAGAGTTCCACCATTATCCCTTATGGGTTTATATATAACCACAAGCGGGCGTTCTAACTATTAAAGGAATTAATATGTCTATGAAGCTAGTGGTACATTTGCTACATGAAAGAAGGTAAATGCTATAAAGAAACAGAGATTGATGTTATCGGCAATCTAAAGCTATGCGACAATGCCCAGCAGTCGACGTGTCACCAGTCTTATTGACGTGGAAACTACTTACTGTACTGTAATCCAGAAAATCCGTCCTAATTAAACGTTAATTGCATCCCTTGTTCCTGTCTGACCTGGTGTCTTCCTAAAAATTAAAAAAGTACATTATTTCTGTACCAATAAAATGTTATTAAAACACTTCACGATACGACACCACTCACCGACTTCCAAGTACTGAAGTGACTATAAAACACTCAACAAGTTCAGCATGCGCATGCGTGTCTGCCTCTGAAATTTGTGACCTTTACCCTATGGAAATGAATAATTATTTCATAATTGCCGTAAATGTTCATTTCAAAATAATTTAAGAGAAAACTTTTTAATTATATGACCAAAAAGAGGAATATAAAATTGGCGAAATATTAGTAACACACGCAAATCCTAGCTCTTCCTACGTCCGCATCCTTTTTAGATTACTCGGCTATGTGATAAAAATATTCATTTCGTGTAATTGAATATTATTATGCAAATTGTTTACAAATCAGCTTTTCATGCGCTCGTTACAAAGACAAATTCTTGTGACATAAATTATACTTCAGTATTAAATGAATTAAAGTGTCTTTAAACATTTTTTTCTTATTATCATTAGTCATAAGCCCTATCCATAATTAGGCATCGAAATTCCTCCCTAAATACTATTGATATAGAATAAAGTGTGGCATTGGATCAGCTTTGGGTGCGAAAATAATAAAAACAATGAGATGTGTACAAGGTACAGATGAATTAAATATTGCACACTCTCATTTTCTCTATTAAACAGGTTGATAAAAGATATTTTGATTCCGTGATAATATAAATGGTTGAAACCTTGAACTAGTATTCTTGTGTGGTTGAATGTCATTGTGAAGAAGTGTATACATGTTCTGAACAAATGAATATGGCACTGCGCTTGTGTTCCTATAGTTCAATATTTTATGAAAGTGTTGTACACACGTAATTGCTGCCTACTTCCGAAAAATCAACGCATGCGCGTAGAGAATCTGTGTGTGTCGGGTTACGACGACGAATCAGTGTTGTGTACGTTGTGTAGCCGGTGCTTTTAATGTTTGATCTTGCTGTGTGAAGTAGTCGCAAGTGTATGAAATAAATAAGACGTGTGTTACTGACAAATTTTCAGAGCAAAAATATATAAATACTCTGTGCAGGATAATGCGTTTATTATTAAAATCTAGCTAGGATCAAGATAACACTACACCCAGACCGAATCTAAAATTCGTGTAGTATTTCCTAACCAAGAAGGATATAAGTTATTTTGAGTCCGAAATGCCTACATGGAATCAGATCCAATCACAGCTGCGAAATCCCAATAATCCTGTGGTTTTTTTTGACATCAGCGTCGGAACTACAGTAATATATTTTTCACGATTGTCATTTTAAAATGTTAATTCTTTCTTCATGACATTATTTTCGTTTTAGGAAATCGGCAGAATGATCCTCGAATTGTTTGCTGACGTTGTTCCAAAGACGTGTGAAAACTTCCGAGAATTTTGTACAGGAGAATACAGGCGTGATGGAGTACCCCTTGGTTACAAAGGAGCTATATTTCACAGAGTTATAAAAGATTTTATGATTCAAGGTGGAGATTTTGTTAATGTAAGTAGTGTCAACATTTCTTCTTAAGAATTTGAAATTGTAGTGTTATGTTTTTTAATTTCCGAGACTTGACAGTTCAACATAATGTCAATATATCTTGTTAAAATTAATTAATGCTATCGTGGTGAAGTGGCTTGCCTACTACTGAAGCGCCGGGTTCGATTCCTACAGAATTTCATGTGAAATTTGCTACAACGAAACGAGTTTGCCTGCTTCACTGGGGCTAGCCTAACCTGCGTTCATAAAATTGCTAAGTTCCAAAGTTGTGATATGCCAAAATTCTTTTACATCCAAAGCAACTCTTCAATTGTGCAGTTCCAAGATAACATTAAAACCCTGTTCTTTGGCCCATGATTTTCATTAAACAGCTTTCAGCCTGGCTAAAGGGATAATGTCAAAATTACACATTCTATAACTCTTTACAATCTTAATCACATAAACTATAGTTTTTACCTTTGGAATCCTGAAATATTAGGGCTTTAATTATGTCTTGATGAGGGGTTTCAGCTATTTTAGTTCCCAGAATGAAAATTGTTTTGGGTTATCTGAACTTTAATGGAAAAAGATATATGACACATGCAAGAATGGCAAAGTAAAGTATACCAATTTTTTAAAAGGCTTCAGATATTTTTGTTTGTTGATGGATTTCAAGATTGTTTTCATTAAAATTTTTAAAACATCTATAGCTATAAACCTTAAATATTTCAATAATAATATTTGCATTAATGTTTTGCATGTATTTACAATTTATATGTAGGCTGCGGATTTTGCATTTACATACATACAAACATTTTCTTTTCCTTAACCATTATGATGTGCATAAAGAAAGCAAATTCATTTCTTGTTGTTTGGAATCGATATAGAAATTGTCATAATGCATATTTATGATGATTGAGAATATTTACATTTTAGGAGCATTTATTTGCATATTTTACATCTTTCATTTCAAAAATTTTTAATATTTTTGTTCCTTTGTAAAATGCAGATGTTGAGATGGCTTTCGAGTTTGCATCATCTGTGTGAGAATAGTGTGGTTCAGTTCATCAGAAAGTCTATATCCAGACGTGTTCACACATCTGTGGGAAAGAAGCAGTGCTGTTCCGTTGCATGCCTCATCTCACGACCCTCTCTGTTTGTGATGAGTAAACTTTTTTGTGATCAGTGTTACAACCTGAAAGCGAATGGCAAGGCCACAATAGCTGGAGTGCCAGCAATGAGTGAAGCAGAGAGAATGAAGAGAGATGAATTTAGTTCTCATTTGCTTTGAAATTATGATACCCCTTATTGCCAGTTTAAAATGAGCTTAAATTCCATCCGGTTGTGTTTGTGAGTGTTGGTTCAGTTTCTTTGCTGATCTTGGTAACTTGTGTAGCGTGTAAATTAAATCAAAATAGAATGCCAAAAGACAAGAGCTTGTCTGTTTCCCTTCTGCAAAGTTAGATGGGGAAAAAATATATTTTGCAAAGTTTGTTCAAAGCAGGTGAACTGTACTAAAACATGTTAAATGTATCAAATATTTGCAGAATGCATTCCACATAAAAAGCATATTGAAAAATACAATTCAACCTGTACAGAATTTGAAGCCCAAGGGAAACGAAAATTTCACTGAGGAGTTATGTGAAGCACTTGATGCATCTAATATACCATAGAGGAAGCTGGATAATCCTTCTGTTGCATTTCTTTGAAGAAATACACCAATGGACACATTCCTGTCGAGTCCACTTTACAAAAAAACTACAATAATGCACTCCATCAGAAAGTGCTCAAAAAAGATAATGACATAAAAGATGCATTTATCTGGCTTTTAATTGATGGAACAAATTATTCCTGTGGAAGGTATGTTGTTAATGTAGTTGTGGGTGAATTGGATTCCAAAGATGCAGGCTCTCCTCATTTAATTATGTGCGATCATAGAGAAAACAAACTATGCAACAAACATTACATGGACTGTGAGAGATTTATAGCATTTATTGTGGCCAACTGAAAAATACAGAGAGATTCTTGGCATTTTTTACATCCGTCAGAAATGCCACGAATCTATCGAATTTCAGTGCAGATACTTGTACAAGCTGAGAAAACACGTGTATACCTTTTTACTTTCTTGCTCTGAAGAAGGGACATCTTAAGAAGAGATAGTTATGCAATGCTGTGTGAAAAAAAGGCCAATTTCGGCAGAAAAACTCTTCTCATAGGACCCTCGTAACGAAAATTTGGATAAATCCAGTTGCTAAATTTAGTGGAAAATTACTGTAACACTTGGTGTAGTCAAGACTCCATGTTCCGTGAGTCATTGATACCGAAAATTCGATTGACGGCAAAATGCCTGGCTGTGATCAACTCTAGCAGCTAAACCATTTAGCCGATTTTCTCCAAAATTGATATTCCCCAATTGATCTAGCTGATAGCGTGGCCGCTTGAATTTGAAATGGATATATTAATTTTGGGGACATGAAGCCTGTGAGACATTTTCAAAAAAATGGCTCCATAGTTTTTTATTAAATTTTGTTGTTGGATAGTGTGAAGGATGTTTAAGGAAATAGTGCAGATCATCATTTTGTTAAGAATGATATATCACTACTTTTAAGGAATATTTTCTCCTTAATAAAATGTGTTTGTCAGAAACGTCATCAAATAAGGTCATTTTCAATTTTTCGAAAATGTATTTTTTGCGGAAGTCTGCGACAAACGTAGTCAATTTTTTAAATTTTAAACAATTACTTTCCCAGAAACTGCCTCAAATTTTCCTTTAAATTGTTCAACGAATGTCGTAAAGAACAATATTGCGCGGTGGTTCTATTTTCGACGCACTCTATTTTCAAAAATTGTAGGGACAAAGGAAATGGTAAATTCAAATTCCCGCGCTTCATGTGAAGCTGTGTCAACTCTGACTCCAATGGCAATGTAATTCGATGTTTGGAGGAAGTCGTTCGAATCTCGAAAGGAAAGGTGATGTTTAATATTATTTAAGTATTCAATATATTCTGAATTGCGCAATTTAATTGAGTTCAATGTGAAAACGAATGGATCATTTCGCTTTGCAACATAAGCTACGGGAATGACGTAATTCGCGTAAAAACTAATAGTTTTGATGAATATAACAATATATATAATTATTATATTTTTCTATCTGCATTTTTGTCAGCGGTATCAAGAATGCTGATTATTAAAAATGTGTACGTCATACGAATGAGCGTTGGTTCGCGTTAATATAAACTAATTCTTTTATTTGCGGCTAAAATACGCATCGCGCATTTATGAATTATGTAAGACTGTTCCAGTCATGAAATTAAAACTAATAGTGTTTAACTATACATACGAAATGCTCCAATCAGGACGGTGTATTTCAACAAGTTTATCGCTTGTTCTATCCGATTTTTCTTACCGCTTCTACCCGCTCTCCAATTATAAACTTGACTTATCTACCTTAGGAGGCGTTATACATCGATCGCTATGTCGATGTCCAAAAAACTTTTGTACTACAACATAAGCTCTGATCTTACCTTACGCTTTCAGTTATTTTCAATATTTGGCGTATTTTGGAATTCTGTTGGACATTATTTCACTCGTGGCATAGTCCTATTAAATTAAACGCGCAACTTTTCTTGAACGATGACATTGTTTCTCCCTCTTTGACACAATATACAGTTAAAGACAAAAGTTCGCAGCGTGCACTGATGACAACATTCCTAACACGTCTTCACTGGCGCGTAGTAGAAACTATTTTCTGTTGAAGACGAGAGCTTCTGTCTGTAATTTTCAAAAAATGTAAAGAAATGACCAAAGCAGGCGAAGATCCATCACAGGAGATACCTCGAACTCCTGAAAAAGGTAGAATGCAAATTATTGAGAAAGTTGCGAGGGCATGACTAATTCTCCAGAGATTGGTATTCCGTCATAAAATCTTGTGGCTGATTACGTAACTAATACCTCCACTGTACGCGCATTTCTTCAATCCATCGTTCAAGAAAAGTTTTGCGAGTTTTGAAAATTCGCAGATAAAACCTCCCGCTCCACGAGTCGGGAATTCATAGACAATTTCCAAAACGCTCCTGATATTACCTATGATAAATGGCCGGGCAATGCTGGGTATTCAGTTAGTGTGTGTATATGTAGAAGAGAGGGTTTTTTTTCTAGGCATGTAATTCTTGATAGATATCAAACATTGTTATTGATCTGTTCACAGCTGTATAATTTGAGAGCCTGTGAGACATGATTTGAGTAATTTGATGTGCTATAGCACCACTAGTTTTTGGGGTTGCTTTTTATTAGGAGCACTTTGGCAATTTCAGTTTGGTTTCATAAAAAGCAACTTTACTTTAGAAATAATATTGAGATTGTTCTCTGCAATCTTTGGCAATGCTGTCTGCAGATATCCCATCAAGAATAACATGTATTCAAAGATCTGGAAGTTTTCACCACACTTTTGTATCAGTAAAAATTCTTATGCAGTGAAGAAGTAAATTGGAGTAAATTATTTTTAAATTGCAATTACATAATCCATTACATTTATTATTACTGATCACTAACTAATAAATTTCTAAATTTGCTCTTCCCAGAGAGAGAGAGAGAGAGGATCAAATGAATTTGATGTTTGCAGGGGGATGGTACTGGAGTAATGAGCGTTTATGGTGGAGGAACATTTGCAGATGAGAATTTCTCTTTGAAACATGATGCACCTGGGTTATTATCCATGGTAAATACACTTTTATTTTTTTACTGTAATTTAAAAAGACAAATAGACTTATGTGAATTATTTTCTTTCTTCCAGGCAAACAGTGGTAAAGACACAAATGGCTGCCAATTTTTCATCACATGTGCAAAATGCAACTTCTTGGACGGCAAGCACGTTGTGTTTGGTCGAGTGATCGATGGTCTTCTGGTGATGAGAAAGATTGAGAATGTGCCTACTGGGCCCAATAACAAACCAAAAATCCCAGTTGTGATATCACAGTGTGGTCAAATGTAAGCGTGAATGAAGGTCTGAAAGAAATTCGAACTTTACTAAGTGCATATAGTGAAATGACTTGTGTTTATAAGAAACCAACTTGTGTATTTTTATGAATGTTGATATTGCATAATATCATTCTCATAGTTTTTAATAAACAGAAATAAAAACTGATTTGTTATTAGCATACTATATGAATGGTTTATTTCAGAAACAATGTAAGTCAGTGTAGAGTAACTTTCCAGTTTTGCCAAATAAAACTTTCATTTCGGCTGTATACCACTAACTGTAAGTCTTTAGTAGGTCTGTTCCAAAAACCCTCCGGTATCGCTTGACTTATACCAGATCTGTCTCAGTGTATATACTTACTGCATTAAGATGTCAAAATAGCGAGAAACTGCCTTACGTGGTTTCTGAAATATACCATTCATTAAAAATTAATGGTCCTATAAAAGGGCACAGTCTCTCTATCACATTAGCCTGCCGTGTCTAGTCAGGTCTAGATTTCCGTTTTTGCTCGACCCTTGCTGGTATTGTCACTTTTTCCCCGCATTTAAAAAAAAAGTTCAGCTCCCAAATAGTAGAACTAAAATATGAATTCCAAATATTATAAAAGAATAAAAGCTGGTTATACACACATTTTTATTGAAAAATTTGGAGCAGTTTTGGAACAATATCTTTCGAGTGTTTCCTCAAAAGCTAAATTTTGAGCTCATTATCACATAAACTAGGAAGTATGTTTACAAGAAACTTCATTAGAAATCATTTAATCCACTCATATTGAAAGAAAATTACCTTTGTGTAATGTTATCAAAAGAATACATTGCTTCTGTCGCAAAGAACAATAAAGAATGGTGCTGGTTCCATTTTCGGCGCTAAGTCGAAATAGTAAATTCGTATTTCCCGCGCTTCGTTAAAGGCGGTGTCACTCCAAATGCAATGTAGTTTGCACAAACCTTGCAAACGCTGCTCAATTTGCGCTTAGGTTGCATGTTTGAAAAACCCCCAGATAATGAAAAAATATCTTACAAATGTTAGGATTATACGTTTTTCTTTTAATGACATTGACTATTCAAAAGATTGCCGCAATGTCACAGAACCAATGAGCGTGCTCGCCGGGCGTCCGGGCGCTGGTTCTGTCGCTCGCCTGGCCCTTGTGGGGGGTCTCTTCGAGCCGGATGATTGTGGTTGGTGTACTCTGACTCCTCTCCCCCGTACAGGGACGGGGATTGGGGGTCAGGGTAGATAGGTTATTTTATTAAGGTTGATGGGTTATTTCGTTCGGGTCGCGCTGGGTGACGGGGGTGGAGGGGAAAGGAAAGGGTTTGGGGGGGGGGACGGTCCTTTTCAGTTGGGTGTAGTGGTAGGATTCTGTGGTTTGTTGGCGAAGGGTGGATTCTGTAATTGTTAGTTTGTTTTGGTTTTTCGTTGTATCTTATTCGCCTTCTCTGTCTGTCTTGCGTTCGTTGATTTAGTTTCGTTAGTTCGTGTAGTTAGTTTTGTCGGCTTGTCTATTTTTGTGTCGTCTTCAAAAGTTAGTTACGTCGCTGTCTTGAGTTTCGTTCTGCTCTCTTTCTCAGGTGACGGGTGGGGGGAGTAGGAGGATGTCGAGAGGATGCTGTTTGCGGGTAAAGCGGGGTGGGTTTCTTAAGATATGGTGGTGGGGAATGATAAGTTTTCGGAATTTGGGATTGAGGACGAATTTTTGAATTTGAGCTTTTGCCGAGTGATGGAGATATGTGTGGATGTGAGGGATTTGATGTTGGAATCTCAGTTGGTTGAAAGGTGTGTACATGGGTGGGTGGAATATGAGGCGGAGGACGTAATTTTCCATTCGGGTAATTTTTGAAAGGTTTTGTTGGGAGGTGGCAGTCCAAGTCGGGTGGGCATATGAGATGATGGGGCGGAGATAGGTGTAGTAAGTTTGAAGTTTCTTTTTTGTGGGAAGGGAAGGATGGGTAGCAGGGCGTTTATAATTCGGGTGGCTTTCGTTCTGGTCTTGTGGATGTGGTTGGTCCAGAGGAGGCGTCGGGAAAAAGTAAGTCCAAGGTATTTAACTTCGTCTGTCCAAGGGATTGGTGTGTTTGCTATGGATAGGGGAGGGGAAGGTTTTATATGAAAAGACGACGGCTTGTGATTTTATGGGGTTGATGATTATGGCGTTTTGTGACGCCCAGAGTGTAAATGTATCTAAAGCGGATTGGAGACGGATAAGGGATCGGTTTAGGGAGTGGAAGGATGTAAGGAAAGCAAGGTCATCGGCGTAAACGAAAGTTTGCACTCCATGGGTGCGTGGGATGTCATTAATGTATATGGAAAATAGGATTGGGGATAGGACGGCTCCTTGTGGGACGCCGGCTTGGATCGGGTGATTAGGTGAGAATTTTGATAGGTAACGAACGTGGAAGTAGCGGTGACTGAAATAGCTTTGGAGTAGGGAATGGAAGTGGTTGGGAACGTACGGTCGGATTTTCATAAGAAGGATTTGGTGGGAGACTGTGTCGTAGGCTTGGGTGAGGTAGGTGAACATGGTTGGGATTTCTTTTTAGTCTTGTAGTGGTGTGGCTATTGCAATGGAGAGGTTCAGGGTTTGGAGGGCCGCGGAGCGGCCCTCTCGGAATCCAAATTGAGAGATGTTGATGATGGGATCTAGGATGGGGGTTAGTCGTAGGACTAGGATTTTCTCAAAAATTGTGCTAAGAATTGGTAGGAGACTAATGGGGCGGTAGTTTGCTGGGAGCCGATTGTCCTTGCCGGGTTTGGGGAGCATGGTTACGCGGGCGGTTTTCCTGGCGGTGGGGAAATAGGATAGTTTAAGGCAGGAGTTTAGGATAAGAGTGAGGAGGTCTATTGCATTCTTCGTTAGGTGTTTGATTGGGGATGGGAAGACTCCGTCGGGTTCTGGAGACTTTGTACTGTCTATTGTCTTGATAATTTGTCGTAATTCTTTGTCATTAGGCGTCCAAATATGTTGTTTTTCTGGTGGGAGTTTTGAGGTAGTTTAAGATAACGTTGTCTGGGATTGGGAGGTTGGAAGGAAGGCAGGAAGCGGTCGGCTAGGGATTTTGCGAGGGTGTTTGTGATGGTTTGGGGTCAAAGGTGAGGGTGTCGTTTGTCAAGATTGGGGATATTGGGGAGGGGTGGTTGCGAACTGCCTTTATTACTTTATGTATTTTATTGGGGCTGCGATTGTCCTTTAAGAAGTCATATTTGTACGTTTCGTTTTGTCGTAGTAGAGCTTGGATTTGTTTCAGTTGTCTTTTGTCCTCGTCGCGTCTGTGTTTGTAATACAGTCGTTGTATCCTTCGTTTGTGTCGTATTTTGGTGAGGATTTCGTTTGGGAGGGTGAGGTGGAGGTGGTTGATTTTTGATAGGCTTTTTTGATGTGGTGGGTGAGGTGTATGGATTTATCGATTGATTCATTTGTGTTGATATCTGTAGGAATATGGATTTTCTTGGATAGGATGTTCTTGACAATTTTCCAGTTTGTGGAGGGGATGGGAGGTGGATTGGGGAGGGCATAGTATGAGGCTGTGGAGCAATTAAATACGATTGGGAGGTGGTCCGAGATATTGAAGAGGTCGTATTTTGGATAAGGAATGGTTGTCTGGAGTTGAGAAGAATGGAGGACAATATAGAGGATGTCGTGGGGAAAATCATTGTGGATGTGTGTTGGCTCAGAGGGACTTTTTAGATGGATGTGGGTGTTTTGGGTTAAGAAGTTGTCAAGTCGGAGTCCGTTTCTGTTGCTAGTTGCGCAGCCCCAGTTTGTTGATTTACAGTTTAAATCTCCTGCAAGTATGAATGGGTAGGGGATGTTATTTAGGGCGTCAAGATCAGATGTGGGGATGGGGATGCTTGGTCTTTTATAACAGGATATGATGAGTATGGGAGTTGAGGTAGTTCCTATTGCGATGGCAGTGCATTCAAGGGCAGTTGTTTGTGGGAGGGGGTACTGGGTATGTGGGATAGAGCGTCTGGTAAGGATGGCCGTGCCGCCTCCAAGGGATGTGGTTCTGTCGGAGCGTGTAGTTATGTAGTTAGGAATATTAAAATGTAAGTTTGGAGTCAACCACGTCTCTTGTAGTAATAGAATCCCGACGGAGTGGTCTTTTAGGAATTGTTTTAGGATGGTGATATTTTGATTCAAACCGCCTCTTGCGTTCCATGAGGACAGGGTGAGGATTCGGGGAGAAAGGGCCATTTAATTAAGGGTTTCGACTATTTTTAAGCCAGCGGCTATTAGTTTGGTTACTATGTCCTCTGGGCCTTTCAGTATTTCAAGGAGTGGTTTGATATTGGATAGGATCTTTTTAATGGAGGGATTTTGGAGGAGGGAGAAGAGGTCTTTGAGATCTTGGGCAGTTGATTGGGAGGGTTGATTTCGGTGTTTGGTTGGGATGGGTTGGTGGCTGTGGCGTAAGAGTTGTGTTTTGGTAGGGATGGGAAGGATTGTTCAGAGAATTGTGGAGGAGTTGTGTTTGGGGTGGGTTTCAGAGATTGCTGTCGCAGGGTTTTTGCCTTGATCATGGCTGGGTATGATGGGTCGTAAGCAGGATGGGGCTGGGAACAGTTTAAGCATTTGGGAGTAAAGGAGCGGTCAGAGGCTGTATGTGAGGGGTATTTTTCCGTGGGGTGAGCTTGAGCCCAGAGAGCGCAGGTCGGGGTCCGTCGGCAGTATGCTTTGGTATGGTACAGTCTCTGGCAGTTCTTACACTGTGGTATTCTGTCCGTTGTCCTGTAGTTTTCGATTCTGATTCTGTAGTAGTCAATGTAAATTTATTTACTTTTGATGTCTGTCTTGTCTTTTTTGTTTGTCTCAACAGTGTAGATGCCGAGGGGGGTCATTGTCCCGTCATTGTCTTGTCTTTGCATCTCAGTGATGTGGTAGTAAGTAATGTTCTGTCTTTGTAAATTTTGTTTAATTTGGTCGATGCAGTATCTTGGGGGGAGTCCTTTGATAACAAATTTGTCTCTAGCCTCCTCTGTGGCTCTGTTAAAGTGGTAGGATATTGTCACAAAGAATAGTCATTTTAGTTGTGGGTCCGTAGAAATCTGGTCGAGTCTGTCTCGTATTTCAGTGTGGGCAATCACAGTCATTGGTTGGATTAGAAGTTCAGTCTTCGTACATTTTGCGGTCATGTGGTTGTTGCAAGTTTTCATTTGGTCTTTTGTCAGTTCAGTTGGGTCGAGGATGGAAGTCAGGTCAATGCGGAATGGTCCAATCCTTCCCTTGCCTTG